CCCCGCCCGCCCGGTAAATATGCAGCAGAAATAGCAGCCTGCAGGCTGGGGGTGGGGTGGGGGGCGGGGGTTGCGTGGCGGATCAGCCGGAGCTCCTGCCCGGTGGGCCTGGCTGTGTGGGCGCTGGCGGCACAGAGCGGCTTTAAATAGCTCCTCGTGGGCTTGTGCAGCGAGAGGCGCCCTGCGAGCCGGGCAGGCGGAGGGCGCGGGGGCGGGCGGGTCCTGGCAGCGCTCGGGTGGCCCCCAACCTCTGTGCCGGGGGAGCCAGCAGCTCCGCGGGCTTTGAACCCACCTCCGCGTCCCCGGAGGCCCTGGCAGAAGGCTGGGCCTTAGGCAGGACCCTGGTGCCCGGAAGGAGGGTGGGGCCAGCAGTTTTGACCCAGCGGGGTCTTTAGCGTGCCACCCTCGGGAACTCCCAGGGAAGAGGGGAGCGGTCGCTCTGCCCGGGGTCGCCCGGACCAGGGGGTGCTGGGCAGGGGGCAGGGAGAGAGGGCTGCTGCTCCTGGGCAGCACTGTCCCCATCTGTCTGTCTGTCTGTCTGTCTGTCCGTGGAGCTGGCTGGGCTGGGCCGCCACCCCCTGTGGTCCGGCTGACCCAGATCCGGCTCTGCTGTCCTGGCATCTGCTCTCTGCAGCTCCCACTCCTGCTCACGCTGCAGCCCGGAGCCCCTGCTCTCGGCCGTCTCTCCCCCCGAAGGACCCGCAGCCTCGTCCTGGGAGCAGGTGGCAAAGGGGCTGCAGGTGCCAGGACAGATCTTTAGGGGCGGAGCCTAGAGCTGGGCTGGAGGTGAGCTGGTGAGCCCCGCCTGTGGTTTGGGCAGGGGGGCCAGTGCCCGCCTCTGCCCTCGGACAGGGCGGCTCTTTGGGGAGCAGCTGGGCCTCAGGGGCCACCCTGCCTGTGGGTGAGCGACTCCAGGTGTCCCCCTCACGGCCAGGACACTGGGCCCCTGGGCGGGCTGTGCCGGGCGGGGGTGGGGCGCAATGGCCCAGCAGGCACCCCTGGAGGTGGCATGAGGTGGGCTCCCCGGGAGGGGCACCTGGGCACAGTAGGACCTGCAGCTGGCGACCTTGCCCACAGAGCCAGCCGCCCGCACAGCTGCCCCGATTGCGCTCCGGCTGAGGAGGTGGCACCGGAAATCGGACCCCGGTTAGAACTGCTGTCGGGCCTCCCGCGGCCGAGGCCGGGGTTGCTGAGCTGTGGCCTTTCCCCCCCGTCTCCGGAGGCCGTGCAGCTGGGAAGGGGCTGGGGGTTTGTGGGGAGTTGATGGCTTCTGTCCTCCCATCGCCTCCTCCAAGAAGGCACCGTCCGTGGGACGAGACAGGGGAGCCGCTGTGACTCCTGGAACCACCCCTGCCCTCCCACCGACACCCCGCACGTGGCCACATGGCTCAGCCTCTGGAACTCGAGTGTCTGTCTGCGGGTCCCTCTGCCCTGTGCCCGCTGAGCCATGGCTGCTGGGAGAGAGGGCCAGGGGCCGGGCTTCGCTTTATTTCATGCTGGGACCAGAGGCTCACGGCGCCCCTCCGCCCGCTCCCCCAGGCAACGAGCACCCCCACGCCCAGCTGCCTCCACTCCCGGTTCACCCCACGGACGCCCGGGAGTCAGGGTCGTTTCCCGAGTCAAGTGCGTGGCCCCCAGGCCCTGCGCCCTGGCTCAGCCGCGGGTCAGGGGCTCTGCTGTTGGGACGAGGAGCTGGGCTGGGCATCTGCAGGCGGGCAGGAGGGCCCCGGGGTGGTGTTCCGGGAGGTGGGGACGGGCCAGGCGCTGGGGGGCCGCGTGTTCCTCCTGTGTCACGTGGTCTGTCGTGGCCTCCACTCTGAAACTCGCCGATCCCAGCCACGCGAGGGTCCCTCTCCCCAGAGGTTGTGCGGCAGGAGGCCGGGCCTCACAGGGCGTACGCCGCCCAGTAAATGATGTTGACGGCGGCGAAGGCCGCGGGGAACACGGCGCGGGCGTAGATGTCGATGGTGTCCGCGTCGATGGGCTTGAAAAGGGAGCGGAGGCCTCCCTGCTTCTCGGCCGGCCCCGCCTCCACCTCCACCGACCGGTAGGAGCCCAGGAGGTTCCCGGGCAGGCGGCTCGGCCGCCGGGACACGGCCAGCTCCTGGGAGACGCCGGCAGCCGAGAGGGAGAACAGCACGATGGCGTGCTTCACGTCCACCTGCGGGGGGAGGGGGGCAGGAGGCAGCTGAGCCGGCGGCCAGGCCTGAGGTGACCAGAGGTGGCCACACGGGACGCCACCCCGGCCAGCAGCTCCGTGACCCACGGCAGGTGGAGCGGGCGGGAGCTGCGGGAGCGGGCGGCAGGGGTCCGGGGCTGGGCACAGGAGACAGCCGGCCACCCCAGCGCTCTGTGTTTTGAGGGGTGGGAGCTGTCCTTGGTCCTGAGCTCCAGGGAACCGGCACAGCCCGTCCTCACCTCTGCCCTCCGCTCCGTGACCTTGACCTTGGCCTTTTGCTTCCTCCGGTAGTCGGCGTTGAAGTGGGCGAAGGCGTATTCCACCAGCGCGGCGAAGACGAACACGTAGCAGATCCAGAAGTACACGTCCAGCGCCTTGATGGCCGACGCCCGCGGGAGGGAGGAGCGGGCGCTGACCATCAGGGTGGTCATGGTCAGCACCGTGGTGATGCCTGTGGGAGGCAGGGGTGCTGATCCCACCGCCCGGGGGGAGGGGCGGCTCAGGGGGCCGGGGCCAGGCCTGGGTTCGTGGCTGACCGGGTCCCGGTCCTGCTCCCTGGGAGGGGCGGCTGGGCCGGTACCTAGAGACACCCTGGCAGGCACGGCCGCCTGGCTGATCCAGAAGGAGACCCAGGACATGGCGACCAGCAGGACCGAGGGCATGTAGGACTGGATGATGTAGACGCCCCGGTTCCTCCGCAGGTGGAAGTACAGGCTGAGCCGAGGGAACTGGCCGGCTGGGGGGAGGGGGGAGGGCAGCCATCAGGACCCGGCACCACCCTGCCCCTCCCCCTGCCCCTACCACGGCCCTCGAGCCCCTGTGAGCCTCAGAAGGAAGGAAGGCCCTGGACCCCTGCCTTCACCACCGCCCCCGCAGCCTGGCCACCCAGCGGGAGGAGAGCGGGCAGATTTCCTAGCAGAGGGGCCAGCCCTCCCCTCCTGGCCCCCTCCCCGCACGGCTGAGCTCGAGGAAAGAACGGGGCTGGGCTCACGGCCCCGATGAGCGGGCAGGAGGGGCCAGGACACCAGGCAGCCCCCAGGGCTTGGCCCTGTGCACCCCACACCCCCCAGGTGGCCCCCAAACTCAAGGTGCCGCTCCCCCCGGGAAGCGACAGAGGACCGAGGAGTGAGACGGAGGAAAGCTGGCCCAGGCCCGCACGGGGGCGCAGCCGGTGCCCGCCAGCGGTTGACCGCTGACCCTCAGGTCCCCAGAGCTGGCAGGGCCTCGGCCGAAACGTGGGAGCCGGGCTCCCAGGAAGAGGCTGGCGGCCACGTTACCCGACTTGAAGTTCATCAGCTCCGTGGTGAAGCGGTAGCTGGTGATGGTGAACTGGGCCAGCTGCAGCTTGTCCAGCCCGTGGATCTGCTCCTGGTTCTCCGACCAGTAGTACACGATGTCCTCAGCCGAGTAGCCGTCTGCGGGGGAGGCCACGTGGGCAGCGGAGCCCAGGCCCAGCCCCCCCCCCGCCCGCAGCCGGAGACCCTGTCCACCCAGGGGAGCCCACACGTGGCGCCAGGACCAGGGAGGCCTCGGCGGGTGGGGGGGCCGAGGAGCTGGCGCGAGTGCAGGTCCCCATCCCCAGGCGGCCCAGCCCTGCAGGTCCATGCCTCCCTGGGCTCCAGGCCCGGCTGCGGGGCACCCACTCCTGCTCCCGCCCGGGTTCAGGTTCCCTGGATGCCCCTGAGCCAGGCCAGCTGCGCAAGGAGGGCCCCGCCAGCCCGAGCCCCCTGCCCGCCCACAGCAAGGTCCCCGAGACGCAGGCGCTGCCCGGGAGCCGCCGGCACTCACAGCTCTCCAGGTGCAGCGTGCACTCCTGCTCGTCCATCGGGTACTTGGCCAAGTCCATGTCGCAGGCCACCGTGGCGGTGATTCTGTGCGGACGACACGGCAGGGAGGTCCCAGGGGGAGGCAGGCCTGGAGGCTGGCAGCTCCCTGACCCAACGGGCAGAGAGGCCCCGTGCCCGCCTGAGGGACCCCTCCCAGGAGCCCCAGCCTCGCCTGTGGGCTTGGATGGCAAGGTGCCGGCTCCTGGGTGGACAGAGAACGGGTCTCTTTATCGGGGGGGGGGTCTCCCTTCAAGAATGAAGGACGGGCCCTGGCCAGTGTGGCTCAGTGGGCAGAGTGTCGGCCTGTGGACGAAAGGGGCCCAGGTTCGATTCCTGGTCAGGGCACATGCCTGGGTTGTGGGCTCCATCCCCAGTGTGGGGCGTGCAGGAGGCAGCCGATCAATGATTCTCTCTCGTCATTGAAGTTTCTCTTTCTCTCCCTCTCCCTTCCTCTCTGAAATCAGTAAAAATATATTTAAAAAAACGAATGAAGGACTGGATTTCATTCACTTTCTTCATCCTTCAAAACGCTGTCCTTGGCCTGGGGCAGGGTTGGAGGGGGTCAATGGGGGAAAGGAGACATATGTAACATTTTCAGAAATAAAGAATTATTTTTAAAAAACAAAAGAGAGAAAATTACTATATATATATATATACACACACACATACACACACATACACACACACAGTGGGGCCTTGACTTACGAGTGTCCCGACTAATGAGTTTTTCGAGATACGAGCCGTCTCTCGGCCGATTTTTTGCTTTGAGTTGCGAGCTAAAATTCGGGTTACGAGCCAGCTTCAGATACCCCACCGCTAGTTGGCGCAGCGAACGTCACAGTGAACGCCACAACATCAGCCCAGCATCACGTGTCTCACTCGTTCACTTTAATGATTTGACATACGAGTAATTTGAGTTACGAGTTCGGTCACGGAACGAATTAAACTTGTAAGTCAAGGCCCCACTGTGTGTGTGTGTGTGTATATATATATATATATATATATATTTTTTTTTTTTTTTTAATGCTGGACTTGGTGGCTGAGCCGGGGCCCAGGGACGGCCCAGGCGTTCCCGCTGACCTGAGTGGGAGCAGGCCCAGCGGCCAAGTGGCCTGGTTTTCTAAGAGAATTTAGATTCCTACGTAAACTTCCTGGTTTTTAAAATGTTGCCAATTAATTCCATGTTTAAAAGGCATGTGTCAGAAACACATGTTCAACTACACGGACACGCGTGCTCGTAGCGGTGCCGCTCACAGTCGCCCGAAGGTGGACCCCGCCCGGCGTCCGTGGGTGGACGCGTGGACGCAGACACTGGGGGACCCGGGGTGGAGCATCGGCCGGAAGAGGAATGAAGCCGTGACCCATGTTACGACGTGGATGTGCCCCACAGACTCCACGCCCAGGAAGCAGGCGACACGAGGTCACCGTGGGACGCATCTACACAACGTGTGTGCGGAAGGGGCAGATCCAGAGGCAGAGGCTGGTGATTTCCGGGGTGCGGGGGGGGGAGGGGAGCCACCACGTCATGGGTGCGGGGTCTCCTTTTGGGGGGATGACATGCTAGACAGAGGCCATGTTTGCACAACATCGTGACTGCTCAGTGTCACTGAACTGTTCATTTGTTCATCCTCAAACGGAGATATTTTCCATTGATTTTAGGGAGAGTGGGACAGAGAGGGAGAGACAGAGAGAAGCATCGATGTGAGAGAGACACATCGAGTGGTTGCCTCCTCCCTGCGCCCTGACCAGGGCCTGTGCCGGGGAGGAGCATGCACCCGAGGTACCTGCCCTTGGCCGGAATTGAACCCGGGACCCTTCGGTCCACGGGCCGACGCTCTATCCACTGAGCCACACCAGCCAGGGCTGAATTGTTCATTTTAAAAGGGTTCATCTTACGCCATGTGAATTTTGCCCCAATTTTTTTAAAATAAAGGGCCCTGACCGGTTTGGCTGAGTGGATAGAGCATCGGCCTGCGGACTCAAGGGTCCCAGGTTCGATTCTGGTCAAGGGCATGTACCTTGGTTGCGGGCACATACCCAGTAGGGGGTGTGCAGGAGGCAGCTGATCGATGTTTCTCTCTCATCGATGGATCTAACTCTTTATCTCTCTCCCTTCCTCTCTGTAAAAAAATCAATAAAATATATTTAAAAAAAAAAAAAAGGTAGCGGCCGTGTTGGCCAGAAGCTGAGTCTGTCGGCTGCCGCTGGCAACCTCTGTGGTCAGCGTTGGCTGGGCAGTGGCTGTTGGTTGGAGGGAGTAAATAGCGCCCCCCCCCCCCCCAAAGCCCGGGCCCGGCGGCGGCCGCTCACCGGATGCTGTACAGGATCACCCCGTCGGGCTGCAGCCGGATGAGCTTGTTCTCCACGGTCACGTCGTGGAACCAGGCGGACTTGGCGTTGACGATGAAGGTGTCGGGGAGCCAGAGCCAGTCCACGAAGCGGCTGTCCAGGCCCAGCGTCTCGTTGGTGTGGTTGTAGGACAGCCGGCCGTCCCGCCAGCTCTGGTGCAGGAACACGGTCATGGTGTACTCCTGGGGGCGGAGGGCCTGCGTCAGCCACCATCCTGGGGCGCCCGGTCCAATCCTGGGCGCAGGCGGGCAGAGGCTGGCACACCTACCATGTTCACCTCCGAGATGTGGTCGATGCTGGCTACCTCGATGGCAAGCGCCACGTTCACAGGGGGGCCTGCGGGGAGGGAGCCGGCTGAGGCCAGACTCTGCACGCACACACACACGCACACGCACACGCGCGCACACACACACACATGCACACACACGCACACATACATATACACGCACGTGCACACACACAATCCCTTGCGCACGCGCACGCACACACATGCACACGCACACATACACGCACATGTACATGCACACACATGCACACACACACGCACGGACCAGGCCAGGAAAGCCCAGGCAGGCGAGACTGTGACCAGCCGGGCTTTAGGAGGGAGCCGTCTCGGGACGGGCTTGGAGGGAGCCGTCTCGAGACAAGCCTGCAGCTTCCCAGCGGTGTCCCTGGGGGGCCGGCGCTCAAGGGGAGCCAGCCCAGGGCCAGGGGTCCCGGCCCGCCCGCGGCCCGCTCACCTCCGATGCAGGGGCGGAAGTTGCGGGCGTAGCCCTCCATCAGGTGGTCCAGGTTGGGCAGCCAGGAGATCTCCAGGTTGGAGCCCACGTAGTCCCCGATGTCGTTCATCGCCCTGGAAACGCAGGCCCACGGGTCGCAGGCGGCACCGGGGACGGGCCTGGGTCCCGACCCGCGGCTGGGCCAGAGGACAGGGAGGGGATCCGAGAGCCCTCCAGGCCAGGGATCGTGCCGGAGACGGGCCCAGGGAGGTGCCGAGCCCAGGGCTGCTCCATTTGTCCACCGGCCCCTGCTCAGCATCTGCCCCCCCAGCTGGGCCTGGACAGAGGCCGCCAGGGTCAGGCGGAGCCCCAGCCTGGGAGAAGCGCCCCGGCTCCCTCCACCAACGGCCCCCAGAGGGCAGCCAGCCCCAGAGCCCCCACATTAGGGCCTCCCGTCCGACAGGCCTCAGGGGACCCCGACAAGGGCCCGGCCCCCAAGGAGGAAGCGTCCTGCAGGAGGGACTCAGAGCGAGGATGCAGGAGCAGGAGGCTGAGGGCCAGGGAAAGGGAGGGGCAGCTGTGGTCCCAAACCTGCCCTGGGCCAGGCCGAGAGCCTGAGGCGGGGGGGGCGTGGGCGGAGGCTGCAGCCGCCTCCCGACCGCTGGCCTCAGAGCCCCCAACCTGCCATGTGCTTCTGGAGCTGAGCCTGACCCGGAGAAGTGGGGGGCCAGCCTCCTGGTTGCAGGGAAGTCCCACTGACACCCTGGCAGCCCCTGTGGGTGCCACACGCCTGGCAGGCACCTGGAGTCCCCCACACGCCGACAGCCGGAAGCACGGGGCTCCCCGGCAGCTCCCACGCCCACCCGCCCCCGCTCACCCGCCCTGGGGTGGGCAGTGGCCCCAGAACTCATGCCACCCAGACCTCAGTGGGAGCTTATTTGGAAACGGGCTCTTTGCAGGGTGATTGGCTGAGAGGAGGCCACACTGGCTTGGGGTGGGCCTGTCCCCAGGACTGCATCCTCATCGGAGAGAACAGACACGCGGGGAGCCGCCCGCCCCCCCAGGCCCAGCGCAGTCCAGGCCCGAGGCCCCGGGAGCGGGAGGGGCTCCGAGTGGACGCTCCCCGCGGCCTCAGGAGGAAGCAACCTGCCCAGCCTGGAACGCGGACGTGGCCCCAGAACTGGGAGAGGACCCGGCCCCCAAGTTTGGGGTCGCCTGTTCCAGCAGCCCCGGCAGCTCACACCCCACGCCCAGGCACGGGGAGCCCCACGGTGGGGAGCAGAGCCGGGAATGAGGAGGGGCATCCAAGAATAATTCCCCCCCGGCCCGCGTGGGTCAGCGGTTGAACTTTGACCTATGAACCAGGAGGTCACGGTTCAATTCCCAGTCGGGGCACATGCCCGGTTTCAGGCTCGATCCCCAGTCGGGGCCGTGCAGGAGGCGGCCGGTCAATGGCTCCTTTCTCTCTCATCACTGATGTTTCTCTCTCTTTGTCCCTCTCCCTTCCTCTCTGAAATCTATGTGCATATTTACATGCATATTTATACTGATGAATATATATATTTTTATGAATAACTCTCCTGTTTGTTAGTCTCTGAATCACTTCTATTCCGACAAGGTCACCTTGGGCCCCACGCCTGGCCTGTGCCCGTGGGGGAGACATGAGGGCCCCGGAGGCTGCTGGGAGCCCTGAGACTGGCCGGAGACTGACCCGCCCGCTGAAGGCACCGCGGCCGCCTGCCCAGGTGCCCACGCTGGGCTCTTCCTTAGGCCGCCGTCCCTTCTGGGTTCCCACCACCCTGCTGTCACTCCGCCCCTCCCCCCAGTGGGGACTCAGCCCGGCTCCCCCGCATCCTGCTCCTTCAGGGATTGTGTCCTTGTCATCGGCAGCAGGGCACCCTGGCTCCGGCTCCCCGCTGCCCGTCCGTGCATTCTGAGCTGAGGGCTCGTGTGCGACTGCCGTGTCAGGACACTTGCGCAGCGCCACCCGTGTGAATGGACGGGACCCACTGA